AGGAATCTGCGCCGCTGCAAGCTCCGCGCTGCCCTGGCGATGCACGTCCTTCATGTCGAACTGCAGTGAGGGTAGCAGCACGGTGTTGCACCCCTCAAAGTGCCAGAGCTCGCAGCCTGCACCTGCCTTGCATGCAAATCTGGGGGACGCAGGTCCCCGCTGCCCTTTGGAAGTGTGCGCAGCAGCGAGGAGCCAGCCCTCCCCCGATGATCCACCCAAGGCTTTGTCCTGCTCCCTGCTGGGGCTCTAAGCACCCCCTAGCTGGATGGCAGCCCCAGCCCTGCCCAGCTCCCTACCTACAGGGGCCTCAATCCCCCTCTTCCCCCGCACTTACTTACCAGAGCTGCTCTCAAGGCTTCTTGGGGCTATATGCGTGTACTGTACATGGACGTGGCGCCACCTGTCTCACTGCCTGCCTTCCGCTTCCTCCCAGCTCCCTGAAGGCTGGAACTCTGCCAGTCTGCAGGGAGCTTATGGCTGTTCGACTTCGCACAAGATCGGATTTTTCTCGTACAAAGCGAATTTCTGGTATAAATAAGGTCGTCATATATAAGCGAATTCGCACAAAACAAATTCACATAAAGAGAGACCCGAGTGTATCCATTTTCCAGAGAAGTGTCTAACAAACTGGATATATTTGAGACTATTGGGCAGAGAGAACAAGTAGCTTTGGTGAATGGATTATGGATTATTTATATTGCATTCATAGTATCCAGCAATAAGATGAGCAAGGTAACATATAATAGATTTGCAAGGACTGTGGAACAGATATAAAGCATTCTATTGGCAAAAGGGTGGTGTTTTTTATCACACTTTCTCTTTGGAAATTGATGATGTGAAATCTATCAACCTATCAATATTTTAGCAATGAAGTCAGTTCAGTTTCCTACATTTTAAACTCATATTCATTGTTCCGCTAAAATTTGTAAAACCTGGGGATGAGAGAAGAGTTTTTATATTTTCCATGTGTTTATAGATCTGAGGGACATTAATGAACTAAAGTTAAACCCAAATGGGTATGGCAAACTACTTTTGTGAGGTATACTTTTTCATGTAGGCAGTTCTCTTCTTGCAGTCTATAATACTATATGTATGTGGCAAATTGTTTGGCTTCTCTTCCTAGATAACAGATAGTACATTGATACAGCTCTCTATTCACTGCCCTAAATTGCAAGCATTGGTAAGTTTAACTCTTATTTATTTTTAGAATATTTTGTTTTAAATCCGTACAAACTATTGTCTGTCACTGTCTCTAGTAGATACTTGCCTTTTTGTCATGCTGTGACATTTTACAATTTTACATACTGTAGCAAAATATGTTTGAATAATGTTTATTTCTGTGACTGTTTTAAGCACATTCAATTTGGCATAAGCTTGTTGTTATTAGTACATTATATTTCCAAGCATCCCAGTGATTCCCCAGCATACTCAGAAAAACAGATTTTTTAATGACTAATTGTGAATAATTAGATAAAGTAAAAAGCTGCATGACTTTTGAGATGCTCTTGAATATGATTGGGAATCTTTATAGATGCTCTTTTGCATAGTAATGACTCTTTAATGACATGTAAGCATTTATGTTGAAACAGATCAAAAGCTGAATTAACAGAAAGATAATTGCTTAGTAAATGTGTGTACTGTCTCTCACAATTTTACAAGTGGGATTGTATACGAATAATCCTAAAGTTTGTAAATTAATAGGGAATGATAGTAAGTATTATGTTTCTAGAGCCCAAATTTTCCCAAGTGACTATGGAGTTCACATACTTCATATATGGAGTACTATGCTTGAGATACTCTAATATCTGATTTTCAAAGAGCAGGTGCCCAGTATGTTTTAAAACTCAACCTGCTTTGAAGTGGCTCTGGCCTTCCTGAAATTGAGAGACCGAGAATCCCTAGTCTTGGTCAGTTTTGAAAATATAGGCTGTTGTGTTCAGAGCCAACGCTCCTGCCATCATTTATAATCTGTTCTTAGGAGGGATTAAAAGGAATGATTGTTACTTCATTAATTATGTAGCCTTGTGGCTTTTCCCAGAGACCCAGCTCCAGGAATAGTGTTACTAAGGTAGCAGAAAGCTCAGGAAGAGATGGTTTTGAAAAAGAGCTTTATTTGCTGCTTTTTCAGATTAATTGCCCCATCTCATTCGTGGAACATAATTCCATAAATTGCCTTATTAAAGTAAAGGAAAGTCTTCCAGCTGAACAAGGAATGGTTTACATACAGGTCTATATACTCCTGGTAAAAATGTGTAGCTTCTTATCTCCTAATCCCATTTACAACCAAATTGCCTCAGACACATTTAAGATCTTTTGTGCCATTAGGAGTGGTCATACTCCTTTTTAACAGTCTGCTTCAGCAGAGATCAGCATTACAAACAAGATTATAACTTTTTTAATTCAAGTCAGCTCCTGCTAACCCAGTTGAAGGTCACAACATATGCTATATTTTCTTGCATACAGTGTGCTTGGGAATAATACTCACCTTGTTTCTGAAAGGAAGACTGAAGAAAAAAAGATTTTTCTAGAGTTATGGCTGTGCAGAGCCTAATTTTCAGATGAGTTACCCTCCCTTTCCTGCTTAGCTGAAGCTGAAACCATAGCTGCTCCTGAAGACTGGTCTCCATGGGTAGATCTGTGATTTTGTAGAGCTAAAGAATCTTCAAGCAGAGGTGTGAAATAGAAGAGAGACCAGGACCACCTAACAGATAGCAAAACTGCCTTGCTCAAAGTTAGCTTGGTTACTGGTGTACCAAGACCATTAAAAAGAAGAGATGATTGTTAACATCTATGAAGAACAAGCCAATGAAGTGAAGAGCAATGAGCCATTAAGTCAACTGACTCCCTGCTCCATGCTGTTCCACATGTACCGGAGAAAACTACTTGTAGACTGCAAAATGAACAGCCTGGGTGAGAAGGAAAAAGTCCTAATTTCACTTACCTGTGCTCTTGACTATCTTTGTGATTGGCTTTCTGTGAACATTTCACAGTTGAGCTTTATTGGCACAAATGTTCATTAAAGTGCAATTCAGAGTTGTAAAAATCATGTTTTGAATTCATACCCTGGATTTTGTACACACTGGAAGTGCTTGCTCACTGAACAAACTATGGAACATAAACACCAATGTGACTTGTTAAGCCAGTAAGAACGATTTCTTACAGCTTCTAATACACAAATGCTTTATAATCAACCATCGGAGCTGAGTTTAAAAAAAATATGAAATTGTCAAATACTTTTAGATGCGTCAAGGAAGTTCTGATCTGCTAATGGATATTTCATTAGCAGAAAACAGCTAAACTCACCTGCTGTGCTATTTTTATTTGCTACTCAGCTAGCCCAAGAACCTTTTTATTTCCGCATCATAAAGAAAAGAAGTTGAGCATCCCCTCTGTAAGATGAAGACTTTCAAAATGGTAAACTTGACACTTTACATCTTGTTAAATATTTCTACCAATTCTAGCAAATCTGAAGGACCTTGTGTTTTAATGCAGAATTTTTCATTAAGTATGGTTGCTTCATAAAGACTATGAAATCAAATTGGCATCCTGTATTGTGTGTTCAGTTCCAAGTCACCAGAGTACAATCTCTCAGGAAAGCTGAAGTTTATAAGCTGCTTACTTCCTGGGATGTGAAACTCTTAATTAGCCAGTAGACAGCTACAAGAGACAGAGGTCAAATTCGTCAGCTACAAGAGACAGAGGTCAAATCCGTCTTTACATAACCTTCCTTCCTCCCTTGAAACCAGAGGTCCCTTATAAATAGATTGGAAAAACAGTATATGCTTTAACCCACACATTGCTGGTAATTTCCAGACCACCAGCCAAACGAATGTGCAAGAGTATGCGTATATAGGTACATGAAGAGGGAAACCATATGAGCTATTTAAGGCGTCCAGAGAGTTAACAGGAATTAAGAATGTAAACACAGACCCTAAGATAAACCAGTTTTATGGAGTAAGCCCTTTGATTTTTTTGACCTTTTAAGAAAACAAATTATGCAGTAGTGTTGTTACTGTTTGGGGTCCACATTACCACTAACAGCAGGAGCACTGCAATCTGCTGGATAAAGAAAATGAAAATGCAACAAGAACACTAAGCAGCCGTGGGTGAAAGGAAGTTTGGTTGCTGTGAAGTTGCTCTCTCCATCAGACACAGACACAGTGTAAGTCCTAGAACTAGATTAAACCCCTGAGAATTCAGTTATATGTTGCATTTGTTCTTTCTTTGCTCCATTAAGTGAAGGGGAAAGGGAGAGATGACAAGGATACTGTTCTAACAGACATGAGATAGGTAAGGGTGGTTTGGTACTGGCCAAGAAGTTTCTGTAAGCCAAAGCAAAATAGCATGACGTGTTCAGCATTCACTTGTGCTACTTGAAAAAAGGACCATGGTACAGCGTGATATACTCTGAGTTGAGGAGAGAATCCAGGTACTTAACGGCCTTGAAAGAAGAGCTTTTATATCTTGATTTTCAGATGTTGGATTTGGATTTTCTGAAGGACTCTTCTAAGAGGAATCATCTCCTTTGCTGAGTTCAAACATGTGCTCACTGCCAAAGGTCTCTGGCACCAGAGTTTCTGCCTGGAAAAGCTGCCCAGCAGACACCCCCAAAACATGGTACTGGGTTCATCTACACGTGGTGCTACGTCGCCATAGCAACACGCTACAGTGACGTAGAGTTGGCAGGCATAACCTGTGATGCTGTAGCTACATCGCTGTAGCAACACGCTCCCTTTGCTATAGCATGTTGCTATGGCATCGTAGCTGCTAAAAACAACCACGCACCACCAGCACAGTGCAGTATGGGCTGTTACTGCACCGCCATTTAGTACTTCCAAAAGCAAGTACTAAATGACGGTGTAGTAACAACAATGCCACATGAGGCACATGTAGGTACGCTAACTGAGCAGGAAATAAGGAACTAAATTCCACCTGAGTGAGAGAATGGAATCAATTCAGCACATCAGGGCCTTCAACAGGAGTGATGGTCATATCAAAGCTAACAGTGGCCTCAAATCATCCTACCAGAGAAATCCACATATTTCTTATCATCTTGACAGTGCTGCTGTAAATCCTGTGAAAGAGGGAAAAAACATGTATTCTTTGAATAATGCTGGAATCTGGGGCAATGAGGCTTCTTCCATTCCCTTCAAACTTTATAAAAAGTTATAATTTTCAAATAAAAAGTGAATAAAGACTAAAACAAAACGTTAAGGTGAAAACTCCAGATAGTACCTACTAATCATAAAAACTGGGTTTTTTGAGCTGATTGCTTGCACGGACCTTGGGCATGCGGTGCTCTCCTGGCAAGTTGTGCCCTTTAATGCTGCAAGAAAATTCAGTATTTAAGAAGTTATGGTGTCATCTTTTAGACAATGAGTGCCCTACAGCTCTTGCTGAAGTTAACTTGACATTTCATTAAAAAAAAAACCGAGTCATTATTGTTTTCTGTATTTATTTGTATGATGGTTATGATTCCCTTGTGTAAGAGACTTGATTGTGTAATTGCAAAGCTGAAATAGCTCCTCTTCATTGCAACCACAATGTGCTGCCACCTCACCATTTTTTTCAGTCATCTTGTTTCTGACAGTGCACAGGTAATTTCTAATCCCCCTTAATTTCAATAAATGGGAATTGCACTTCAATTGCTAAGCATCACCCTAGAGCAGAAGGGGAGCACAAAGTTTAAGTTTGGCTGTTGATAACTTGTATCTTACTGGGGCTGCAGTGATGAGCTGATTATTTCCAAGGCAAACAGTGAAATGTCTGTCTGTTTCAGAGTTTATCTCACTGTGAGTTAATCACAGATGATGGGATTCTGCATCTGAGCAACAGTACCTGTGGTCATGAGAGGTTACAGGTACTGGAGCTAGACAACTGTCTTTTGATCACCGACCTGACTCTAGAACATCTGGAGAACTGCCGCAATCTGGAGAGAATCGAGTTATATGACTGTCAGCAGGTCACTCGAGCAGGAATCAAAAGAATCAGAGTAGGTGTTGTGGACATTTACTCGGCTTTTGGAAAGGACAGAATTGCCTATGTGTAATCATAGTAATCATGTAATGCACACATGATCCCAAAAGGTGTTTGAACTGTGGAAAAAATAATGAAAAACATAAATCTCAACTACAGGGAATCTATTTTATTTCCATCAAATGTCTATTTCCATTTATATTCCAAGATACTGTTACTATTGCAGTGCTCGTTAGTACTGATCTCTCTTACTGATGTGTATGTTTTATGCTTTATCTACTTTCCAATGTTTATTTTAAAGGAAACATGGGCTTTTGGGGTTTACTTGAACTATTACTAGAATTCCTTCCAAATACATGCGCTTCTCACAAAGCAAGTGTAATAAAATGAAGAATCTGCATAGATGCTGCCTAGATTGTTAGTTAAGTTTTAAACTAAATATATAGAGTAAAGGTTTTTAGTGAGGACTGAACTTGCAGAACAAGAGTATTAGGATTTTAAGACATGGGAAAATTTAGAATCAATTTCAGATGCCCTTGATTAATTAAAAAAAAAGAGGACAGGTTTTGAGCTTTTTTTTGTTTCAAGAGTTTTGATTAAGGCAGTATATTCATTTGTTGTTTTCTGATTTTGCTATAACTATACAGAAAGCCCTAAAAGTTACCTAAGAAAGGTTCTTCGAGCAGTTTCTATTTCTGAATGAGTGAATATGGCCAGGTTCCAGTTTATTAAATTGTTTTCCTGTGGTTAAATATGAATGCCTTGCTCTTTGTAGTTATGCCAGACAGCTGTATGGAACTGCTTGGCTTACTCACTTTTAGAAGTGGCCGTAGACTTTAAAAGTATCAGGGACTTTAAAAAAAAATCTTTTTGAGGTTTGCCAGTAGTTTAGTATCTGCTGGTAATGGTTGTGCTTTACCGTTTATATTTTTTGGTTAAATTTTTGTTTCTCATTTTCAGGCTCATCTACCTCATGTGAAAGTTCATGCTTACTTTGCTCCAGTTACTCCACCTCCTTCTGTAGGAGGTAGTGGACAGCGACTCTGCAGATGCTGCATTATTCTTTGACAATAGTTAACATCAGGCTAAGGAAAACATTTCCTTTGGCTGTGGAAGAAGAGAATCAGACTGCAAGTGGTCTGCAGAGTCAGTTACCTGACTGCCATAGCAATGATGTGTCAATCATCCAATTTTTTGCTGGTAATGACACCAAGAAAGACATTTTTCCAGGTAAAAGTCTTAAGGATTGAGTTGGTGATGCTTTATTTTTTTTTAAACTCTTTTGCCTCCACCATCCCCCATTGGCATAACTGTGATACTGTATGGCAATGTTTACTTGGGTATTTCAAAGTAGTGAATGCTCAGTGAAAGTACCGATACCATAAGCCCCACTCAATGGAGCTATTACTCAATGTAAAAAATGTTTAATACAATTCAGAGTTCCTTATGTCAGTCATACGGGGAGAGGGGGAGTCCAAACTGCTGTTCTACAACATATTCATAACAAGACTAAATCTTGTCAGGTTTAAAGACAAATCAGCTTTAGTAGATAGACCAAAAATGTAATGGGGTTCCTTGTTTTTCATGATACAGCTTAAATTTTAAATAAACAGCAGGTTGGTTGCATGTAACTAAAGAGAAGCCAACTATTTAGAAGTCTGTAGAAAATATTTTCCCAAGATCAGGTAAATGATGTTGTAAAGGGATTGCAAAGCAGGTAAGAATGGGATGGGTACGTTATATTGTGTATGCTCTAGCTGAAAAGTAATCTACAGTGTTTATTAGATGGCCGTTATCATTCTGAGCCTGTCTCCAGTTTGTAAGGAGAAAAAATGCAACTGCCCTGGAAGGTAAGGAAGTACTAGCACTATTTTTGTATAGTGGCACATATATTAATTAAGTAACCTGATTTAGATCATGTGTGAAGTCTATGGGCAAGGAATTGAAGCTCTGGGCAGGAAAATGTGATTGTAAACCACAAATTGTGACACTGGTATTTTTTATATTAAGCAGCCTAACAAATGATCTGAAATAGGAAGTAATGAGGATCTCAAAATCTCAACATTTACTGGGAGGAGGGTTATTATTTTTATTTTGTTGTTGTTGCTGATTAGTAATTAAAAATATCTTGAGCATAATGGAAATAAAAAGTGACCTGTTGATACTTTACTGTACTACTACACATACAATGTTTCATTGTATTTTTTGTGTAGAAAGTATGTGAGCTTCAGTTAATATAACTTTTGACAACTCGATTGCCTCTGACAGACAGCTCTAACAAATGGGCATCTTGGAAACTTTGCCTTATCAGTAAGTGCAGCACTTTATTAAAACAGTTGTTTAACTAGAGCTGGCTGCAGGTATCAGTGTACATCTACACTTTGCCCTTAACAGCCAAGATTAATAGGGAACGTTTAAGACATGTGAAAATATGACAGAGCTTTTTGCTGCTGTATTTTTTTTGTAGTCAGACATTTTATTGTCACACAATTAGCTAACGGGGACAGCCTAAATAAACATAATCAGTTCAGAAAAGGTTATGTGTTTAGGGGCAGTGGGTGTCAACTTGTTCTGAAAACCAGAGATAACTAGCAGCAGCAAAGAAAGAAAAAAGAGAACAACAAAAAAGCAACCCCACACCCTTGTGCTGATGTGTACAACCTATTAAAACACTGCCACTTGCTCCATTCCCTCAACAGCTGAACTGAGAGTATCCCATACTAGCTTTTCAGAATGCATTGCCTTATGTTTGGCTCATTTTTAGCAATCTTACTGTGAATATACAATATTAAAATTGTACAAAACAAAACTTCTGCATACTCTAAAGTCATATACATAATTTATGAACTAGGAACTCAAATAAAAAAGATCACTGGATATGTATTGGGGCTTGTTTCAATGATTTCAGGACACCAATCTTACTTAAAGTATGTGGTCTTTTGGTTCTGTTTCACTGTCAGTCTTGACCAGCAATTGACCATCTTTCCAGAAAAGGCTCAACAACTACAGCATGACTTTTTTTTGCAATTAATTAGTTCATCTTTTCAAAAAATATGCTGGGGCAAAACTGAACTGCCTTGGAAGAGATAGAAAGTACAATGTTGTTGTTCCCAAAATGGCGGCCTCCATTTCAACACAGATTTCAAAAAGCAATTTACAAAATTATTGAAAAACATTTATTTATACTTAAATTGAAATGTGTACATCTTATTAAAAAACAAAAGCAATTTGCTGGTGCCATAATTTAATTCCAATTTCAAGTGAGCTGGACAAACTACTGTACAATTCTCAATACCCTTTAAAATTAGATAATTATTGGATACTTTCCAATCAAGGATTTTTCCACTTTTATAAAACATTTGGATTTGAAGATGGTGCTGAGCTGAAAGAACTGAACAACAATCGTCAATTCAATAAGATACTAAGACCCAAACAATACCTGAAGATGAGAAGTTAATAGGCAGAAGAAATGTAAAATCATGACATTTTACTTTATCGGTGCAGAAAACGTTAAGTCAAACAGGAAAGAAAAAAACTCTAGTTTTCATGGATTCAAATGTTCAGATTTGCTACCACTGTAGAGGCCTTTTTGTTAAGCACTTAACCCAGTTAAGAGGGAATTAATGCCCTTTTGCTCTCTACAAATTTCTCACTTAACACTATAGCATCCAAAAATTAAAGCATTCTTCCCAGATTTTGATGGGATGGGTGGTTCAAAGGCACAAAGGACGGTTAAGAGATCTCACTGCCACTTGTGCCTTCGACAAGTGTCCCCTGAAGTACCTATTACTGTGCAACTATAATGTTCAATCTGTGAACTGCAGTGCCATGTTCGACAATTTCCAGAAAAAACCCAGCTTTGAAAAAGCACATTACCTTATTTCAAAGGTAAGTTGTATGTTTGGTCATGTGAAAGAGGCACTGTGAAATTTTTGTGGTATGGATCTGAGGCTATAGAAACAGTTAAGATACTTGCCCATAAACAGAGACAATAGCAAGCATTTACCTGCTAGAGAGACTTAAGTGTTGTATATTTAGTGTTTAAGCAATTTAATGGATGCTGCTTAAAGCTATGATGTAGCCCCTTGGCGCCAGTGGGTCAATCTTCCCTCGTCAGCAATATTTCCATCAAGTCAGGAAAATCTAACTCTCACTGCCAGTATTTTTAAACCCACCATTTCACAAGCAGAAGGTTAAAGGGTTCAACTGCAGCACTGTTCCATAGAGAAACTAGAAACTAAATAAAGGATGCATAGGCAAAATTTTCCATTAAATTTGTTAAAGCAAAACACAAAATTACTTTGTACCCCACAGGATTTATACTACTCCTTCCAATAAGGTACTGTTGACAATGCAGTTGGCTGCATGCATATATTGCATCTGGCTAGGACTTCTTAAAAATCCTTTTCTGGCATTTACACTTCTTACGTACACTCTTATACACAATTTACACGGGGAAGCCGTTTTGACAGCTTTACTCTCAAAGACCCGACAACCTGATCACTATCAGCTTTTAACTACTCATCTCAACACAGATCAGTATGTGCTCTGCTAACATCAAAAAATAAAATTCAGCATAAGGTACAAGCAAGTAATAGACAAACTGGCACAGAAAGGTAAATGCCCCCAAATAAGTTTACATTCATCTCCGAACTGGATACAGTGCAATAGGAAGGCAGTAGTGCTTCTACAAACTGTATCTACTGGCCATAATTTGCCTTATTTCACTGAAGGGCAACCACCTTTGCTTACATTGTCTTCCATGCCTGTACATAAGCTGTCATGGCATTATACCTCTTATGAGGACACTTAGCTATGGCAGTGATAAGAAAGTTTACCTATCAAACAGCTCATTAGAAAGGTCATCTTGTGTTTTCAATATGAAACATTTTATATGGTGAAGTTAGATCCTAAGAGTTTTTGGATGATCTTCATAGTCATTAAATGTGACTTCACTCTGCAGTGGAATAGCAGTCCAGCAAATGTTTGCCCTCACTTCAAAATGATGTGGAAACCTTCACCATTTTCAGCTGCAAAGGAGAGAGAAAGTGGCATCCTTTTAAACAAAGCTCCCAAATACTGAAGGCAATACAATAAACCCCCCCACATCTAAAAGTGACATTTTCTCAAGTTCTTTAATGAGTAGAAAAAAGCTCATTCTTCAATATGAAGTTTATCTACTTGAAAAACTGTCCCAACTTTTTGACCCTTCTATGCAGAACACCGCAGCTTTGCCGCCTTTCTGTTTATAAATTTTGAAAATCAACTTTTAAAATCTTTCAATCTGATTTGAACTTTTATTTCTAGTATCCCATCCCAACTGAATCATCCTGTTTTCCTGATAGACTGCTCTGACACTGAGCATCACAGAACCAAGTCATCTTCCTCATTTCTAGTAAAAAGATCAATTAGTGCTCTCATTCTTCAACCTCATCTCATTTATAAGGCAGCGCTTCAAACTGAAACAAAAAGGAGCACTAGAAACAAAATATAATGCATACTGAGAATTATTTACACGATTAATTTCAAGTCAAGTCAGGTGATTTTAGTATTTTTCTTAGTTTTCATTAGCAAGAATCACTGAATAGCTTAGTGCAGAATTTCTTCAAACTGCTTGTGTGTGTGTTTGCAAAACATGGCAGCGTCCACCCCCTTCAGCCACTCTCCCACTACCTCATCCTCTCGCTGCCACTGTTAGCTGAAGCTGAGCAGGGGGAGTGCCCAACTTTACTACTGTGGAAGAAGGCAAGCATCAAAGCACTGATAAAGTCAAGCAGTTGAAAACTGCAGTAGTTACTGGAGCCAAATGGTGTTTTAATTTGAATCAGTTTTTACATCACCAGGTGTGCATAGTGAGTACCAGTTGTTGGATCTCAAAAATGGAAACCTTCACCTTTAAAAGGACTCTGAGCCCTGACAATACACCCAGACACAAGTCTTTTCACATGATGCTAAGGGATACTTCCCTAGTGAATTCTAACCCCTTATAGTATCTGGTAAAAGCAAGGGGTGTGTCATGCACTGAGCATATAGGGTACTGGACAGAGCAGTGATTCTTAACCAGGGTGCCATGAAGTCTTTCAGGGCACTATGCACTATCAGCACTATTAAATGTGCTAACACCCACACATGATTCACAAGATAAACCCAGAGATTTCAAATAGCAGTCCAGTATGACAAAAGCATTCTGACCTGCTGTGGTGTTTGAGCTCTTTGCAACAAAAGAATTGCTTTTATGTTTCCATACTTGAGAAATGAGTGAAAGATGAGAGCTGGCATTTTCTAAGGGGTACCTTGAGTCTACCAAGATTGAGAATCACTGGAATAGGGCATACAAATCTGGGAAGCATAACATGAAGGATGAAGGTAAGGATTAGGGAGGTATAAAGGAAAGCCAGGCTCCAGAAAGGTGAGGTAAGGGGCCAGGAACAATGAGGTATAAGCTGGACAGAATAAGTAAATAATGCCAGTCTATACCTGAGCAGCAAATACATGAAGTATTATTTGCATCATATAAATATGAATAGGAGCAATTAGCACAAGTCTGATTTTGCTCTTTCCATAAGCAAATCAGTTTAAAATGTAAGTCGGCAAATTCAAAATGCCAATTATTTAAAGTTTTGTAATACAAAGAAGTCTTTCATTGATAAGTTGTTGTGTCTTTTGAAAACAAGAAGAGTAATGCAGCAATCTGCATTATTAGCTCCTTTATGCTCAATAACAGATCCTCTGCAATTGTTGAACACAGGAAAAATAATCTTTTCTGGCTATGGAAAAAAATCTGTCACAGCTACATGGTACACAAGTACCAGGACGTTTTAAGGGTAATCCTGTAATCCAGCCTTTAATAGTCTCTACTTTTTGGCGCATATGCTAATTTTGAAATTTAAATTAAAAAGGTACCACAGAACAGGACACTTCTACTTTGGAAACTTCACAATACTCAGAGAGTAATTCTATTTTTGTAGGTACAGTAAAATCCCAGTTATTTGGCACGTGTGTGGAATGGGGGGTACTAGTAAGGTAGAAGTGCTGGTTACCTGAGGCACAGGGTTTCTGGCTGGATGCACAGCGGGAGGGGGGTGGCTCAAGACACTGCCCAGGAGTGCAGGGCTTCCAGCTCTGATCCCAGGTGGGAGGGGCCATAGGATTTGCTCCCAGAGCGGGTTGGTCCCTGCACCCCGGCGGCTCCGGCCCTGTCCCTGGCACTGGGAGCTGTGAGCCCTACCAAGGGAGCAGGCAGGAGAGCCTGGCCCAGCTTGCTGTGGCAGGCACTGCACCCGGCTCCTGTGCACAAGCCCGCAGGGATGGAGTCTCTGCCTGAGGGCACAGGACTCCCAGCTCTGACCCCAGGCAGGGCAGGAGATGCTGGTGCTGATCCCCACCTCTCCACCTGTGTCTGGCTGCACGCCACTCCCCCGCTCCCCACAAACACCAGGGCAGCCCGGCCACAGGCTGCTGCAACAGAGGGGAGGGGCGCAAATGCAGCCAGGGAAGAAAGTGGCGCAGCAAGCAGGAAAACGGGGCATGGCACCATGTGTGTCCCGCCCCTGAAATGCCAGTTAATGGAGTATTCCATTTAGTAAAATCCCGGATAACAGGGATTTTACTGTATATGGTAAAGTAGTGGGTGATAATCTAAACAGTGTTGTTGAATTACACCCACATCCTGTTGCTCCAGTAGTTTTAGAAATCTAGGAATTGGATCTGGAGCAATAACTTCATTCAAATATGTAAGGTGACTACTAACAGGAATCTGTGATTAATATTAAACTGGAACACTAAAAAGCAAAGATGTCTAAAGTATTGTGCTTTTACAATATACATTTTTTGAGTATAGGTTTTAAAGCAATCCAGTTCAGAAAGACTAGTGAACAATTCCAGGTTCCATCAACCAATTATAATTCTTTCCCTCAGCTCCATCTCAAGTTTGATGCATTTTCTGGTTTGTAAAAACAGATGCCACATAGCTAGAACTTCCACTGAAACGAAACCTGATTATGGCTTATTATTGCCACAATAACTTGATTTTCATTATCCCCATCATCAAAAAAGCCAGCATACCTTTTATTATGGTGACTAAGAAACAACTCTCATCTTGAAAGTTTTGAACCATCTAGAAATAGAGAGGACACATTAAAATAACATCCATGTCCCTGGTAGGAGGGCAGTCTGAATGTCCAGGCAGCTTTAGTTCCAAAAGGCTAATTAATACTTTCCTATATTCTGTTTCAATACATTGTGACATTAAATATACAGGCTCAAAAAAACTTCCTTACTGTTAAAACAGTAAGACAGTGGTGGAATTATAGGGCATTTTTACACGTGCTTCTGGCATGGCGCTGAGCACTTTTAATTAGTGAGCTGCTCTAATTAAAAGCACCTGGTGCCATGTCAGGAGCATGTGCAGTGGCGCAGCACGCCTCCATGCTGAGAAAATGGTGGCAGTACACACTGAACTAAAAGCACATCAAAAGTGTTTTAGTTCAAAGTGCACGGCCACCATTTTCTCAGTGCTAAGGTGTGCTGCACCACTGATATATGTGACACGTGAGGCTGCCAGAGCGCATCAGTTTACATACTGGTTGGAGCAACTCCTCTTATGTGTCTAAGTGCCCATACTGCCTAGGGAAGTCATACCATCTTCATTGTAAGTTTTCAGATGGAAGGTGGATAAGGATTTGATAGGGACGGTTTAGAAATAGCATTCATGCAGGGGTTGGACCAAATGACCTCTTGAGGTTCCTGAAGTCTGAAATTATAGCTGTAAGGAACAGTTGGAGTTAAGTAAACCAAAACCAAAGTGTCTGCTCAAACTTAAAGGTTTTTTTGTTGTTGTTTTGTTTTTTTAAACTGATGCATGGTAAAGATTCCATATTGCTACAATAAACATATTAATACTTTCATAATGTTCATTTACTTAAAGGTAAAAAGCATGCTACAAACTAAAGTGACTCACTGACTTTGAGGGGCCTTCCAGCACAGACCTTATTGCCCCGGTTGTAACTGTATAGAGTGCCAATAATGAATTCTGTAGGGATGCACTGATAGAGATTTCGGGGGCTGATACTAATAGCTGATTTTTATGGAGGCATATCAGCTGATACCGATCTGATTTCCGATACCAGCCTGGCAGCTTGAAGAGCTACGTCCAGCTGGTAAGTCTGTTGTGATGGAAGGGGAAGGGGAGGGAAGGAGCATGGCGGGGCAGATCGAGGCCCCCGCAGTGAGGGAGGGAGTGGGGCTGGAGCAGGCACTGCCCAACTAGGGCAGGGCACAGGACAGAGCTGCAGCTCGTCTGGGGGGCACAGGGTGGGGGGTTGGCTTCTATTGCTGTGCGCACCCTGTAAAAACAGGAGGGGTGGGGGGGAAGTGCCCTTGGCACAGCACCAGCCCTAGCAACAGCATGGGCAGGGTGGAGGGGGGTGGCTGCAGCCACCCCAAAATCCACCATATCCCTCCCCTAGCCCCCACTCCCAGAACCACTGCTGCCCACCCTGAGCACAGCCCTGGCCCACTCCTGGGAAGAGCTTGGCACAGCACCAGCCCCACCCTGCCCATGCCCCGCACAGATCCAGGGGCGCATGCTCCTGGACAAGGTGTGGCTCCGTCCTAGCTAGGCAGCACCTGCCTCAGCTCCACTCCCTTCCTTAGCGGGGGGGGGGGGGGTGGTTCTCCCCCCCCGGCCCCCCTTCCCTCCCCCCTCCCCTTCCACCACAACAGACTTTCCAGCTAGACACAGCTCTCCAAGCTGCTGGGCTGTGCTCCTTGCCATTTACGTGCTGTGCTGCAGCTGCACGGGCATTTATTGGCCAAATTATTGGCAATGTCAAGCCAATTTCTGATAGTCAATTTTCCTTATATCAGTGCTAATCCAATATTGGACCACAATATCTGTGTATATATGATTCTGTACTAAGGACCAAAGTCTAGCAGGAAGAGTTTAACTACATATTACTGTTTAGTGTTTTCTACTCTGGGGAGAAATGAGTATTTTAAGCAAACTACTGCGTTCATTTATTGTCTCAGTTCACTCTAACACTATGGAGAAACTCAAGTTCTAACTATCAAGACATTTACATATATGCTATACGCTCTCAAAAAGCAAAGGAGGACAATGCCACTTAAGCATGCCCACAGCAAGTGTGGATACAAGCTGTTTTAAAATAAGCCTCAGCTGTTAATGCACAGTCTTAATTGTGAACTAGTCTAATTTTGAAGAAATTACAAAAACAAGCAAATGGAATTTCTGAGGAGAAAAGTTACCTGATCACTAACAAGGATGTGGATACCAGTGGGACCCTGTCTGTAAACCTGATTGATCTGATGCAAAGGAATATTAAACACCAAAGCAAGCTTGCGAGTGACTTCTGAGGCTGCCATTTCTTCTAAGTAGATCGCATGATAAACTATAAAGGAAAAAAAATCAACTTTCAGTAAGCATTAGGCCAATTAATAAACATTTACTACATGGAAAAAACCCACATTTCTTCAGGATGTTTAATTTTATATCCCTGGTTTGCAAAACCCTCTAAGAAGCCATAGACCTTTGGCTGGCAAACACTTTCTTCCTAGTTTCTAATTCATTAATGGGTGTCAGCTGTCTTAATTTTTTCCTTCAAAACAGTTTCTTGTCACAATTCAGAACTGGAAGCAAACTACACAGCATCAGAAATACAAAAAAAAAAAAAAGATCTGCCATAACATGAAGTGACTAAAAATAAATGTATTTCTGTTAAAAAAACGGCTGGAAAAATTCTGTAATCCAGGCCATTCCTCATCACATGACTATTCTTAATAAAGATTGCTTTTTGACACATTACTACCCTATGGGCACCTTCAACACTTTGTCTTGTGAGCATTTTATAGCATAGGGAAAGGTCTTTTCCAGTTTCACTTGAATCTTATCCGCAGTGACACACAGTGACAAAATTTGGTGCATCCAAGAACAAAATAAAAAATTACAGTGAAAATTAAAGTACTGTATATCACAAGGCTTAAAACAGCTGTTGTGCCCCCAGTTCACACCCCCATCAACTTCCATCTGTGTACTCACTTGCTGAACCCAAACTTCCTACTGCTTCTTTGCACACCAGAAAGCCACAATTCTAGTGTATAAAACAAAATGGATCTATAGCTCTTTCCTCTCCCTAATACACTTTTACTTTGTACCTTAGCAAAACATGAAATGCTAATATTCAAGAGACCTTTGTATCATACCATATATTGCACCGTTGCTGTTATCGCTACTGCCTGCATCTTGCTGCCTTTCCAGTTGTATGCTCCTTGCTGGCTCCTGGCAGACATAGATTGTTAAACGGGGCCTAACAGACCTGCAATTTAAAAAGATCACATATTAAAAGGTAAACACTTTTACCCATGTACAAGCAAAATTTGTATTTCTCTGAATTCAAAGTCTTAGCATTCAGAACATGCTTAAAACATGACTGTTTTACACACTATTTTAAACGAATACATCATCAACTATCACAGGTAGCTAATCTAATGAGCTACTATCAGAACTATTGAGCTTGTCTGTCAAAAGTGCTAGTAAATTTAAGTTTAAAAACGAATTCCACAATTCTAAAATCATTAAGACCTGGCTTATTTACATTGGAATCCTGCAACATTATTACTGGAGTAGCAGTAATTACAGATCTTAAAAGTCAGCATGTTATTAAAAATCCATTACATCAGTTAGAATCAGTTACGTCAAATTAGAATGCTGAATTTGTTAATAATTAACAGCTATGACCTCAAAGACTTTAGGTTCTTTATAGCTCACCTAAATGAGAAGTTTTGTCTCTTGGCAACAAACCCATCCGTCTTGAAGAAATCAGTACTTCCCAACTGCATTGCTACCAGTCTTACAGTCTACCTTTGCATTCATCAGTGCCTGCATCATATCTGTGGCCTGCCCTGAAGGTATACACAAAACAGTCTTCTTTTGAGCACATTACTGCCAACTCCTGAGACAGCTCACATGGGCTTACGCCAATCTAACTCTGAATGCATACCTCCCAGATCCCCTATTCTAAGAAAGGCACATTCTATGATTAAACAAAAGCACTTAAGTGTGCGCTTGGCACTTTACCTGGATTTCAGTGCATTATATAGCCGAATTCCATCGGCCGGACCACAGATTTGTACCAGATCCTCTCTTGTCAGCTTTAATAAATCAGCACCTGGAGAAATACAAAGAGGAGGATTTTTGTCAGTTTTTTTAGTACAAAGCAAAAAGTAATGTCAACAATTTGTTTAGGACTGTAAATCTCCACAAGGGTGACATGGCACTTTGAGATCCTTTTAAGGGTGCCACAGGATGCCTCAATATTAGTGCTGTTAGATGTGCAAAAAATGATCCATAGGACAAACCTAGAGATCTCCAACAGGAATCCACAGTGTCAAAAAACATTCTGACCTCTTTGTGAGCTTTCTCAGTTCTTTGCAACAGAATTACTCCAAAAAAGTGAAAGCTAAGAACTGGCATTTCTAAAGGAGAACCTTGAGTTGAAAAAAGTTGGGAACAATCGGTTTAGGACAAGAGTTACAAGCTGATCCTTGAAGAGCAATACAACCATGCAAGTTAAAAACAGGATGAATGAGCCACTTCTGCTTTAACATTTTTGGAGAGGCACTATCCAATGCTATGTTTGAATGGCCTTATTTCCAGAGGTGGGCAGCATTAGTAGCACCAATTAGCACCCCTTTGACATAGTAATGTCATTTCTGTAGATACAAATAAAAGCCTAAATGATTTGATTTGAGTTAAAATATTTAAGCTGGGTGAATGTATTTCAGTTGCACATTACAAAGCAGAGGCATGCCCATAGCATGTTGGTTTATCATAAACTACTGTCCCTTAAGTACAGAAATAGTTGGACCACTGGTTCTATGCCATCTGCAACAAAACTGCCACCTTTGGCTATCTGTATTATTGCTGTTCTCGAGAACGTATTGCTAGACTTGCAAAATCTACCATAATAGGGGCCAACCTTTTCGGCAGCGGTGCCATAAATTAACTCCACACTCTCCCCAAGTACCACTCTTATCCCCTTTCTCTCCCTGATTTACTGCTCTGCTTTCTGCTTCCTGCCCTATATTCCACTTTGCTGCTTGTCCCCTCCTTGCTCTGCTGTGTGCCATGCACAGAGGCTGCTCGTGGCACTGGTGGCACCCATGCTGCAGGCTGGCCACCCGTGAGGTACATTTCCATCAAAAGCAAAAATGAAAGAATGCTCCTGTGTCCTGAAGACACGACTAACATTATTTCTACTCTTTGATCCTACTAGCTCTGCAGAATCAACACAAATAGAAAAGGAACATGTCCAACTCTGTCCCCTCTAGCCCACCAGACCTGTACATTTGCAAAGCCTATCTATCTGTTACCTCTTTGCAAACCTAACAATGGCTGTGAGATTGCATAAGTGTTACTCATGACACATTCTGAAAATCCAGGCAGGTCCAAGCAGCCAAAACAATTCTGGGGTCTCAACAAAGCTGAGAAGACAGGACAGAGGGATGTTATTCTATTAGGTCGGGGTGGTCAACCTGCTGCATGTGTGCCATGTGGCAGATCAGGGAGGAGGATAAGCAACACAGAAGCAGAAAGGGCATGGAGTTGAAAGCAGAGCAGCAGATGGAGAAGGGAGCACAAGGAAGGAAGCTGACAACTTAGCAAATTTGGTAGAAAATGTAGGACAGGAAACAGAATGGCAGATCGAGCAAGGGAAGAGGACTAGTGGTACTTGGGAAGGTTGGAGGACTAATTTGAGACATGCCTGCCAAAAAGGTAATTGTAATTGTATCAGGCCATGGGAATCTTTTGGGGAAGGGGAGTCTATGCAAGAGGGATGTGCTTTGTAAGAGACTTAAAAATGGTCAGTCATGGTGTCATGATAAGCGTTTTCAGGATTTGATCAGCACCAAGACAGAACATAAAGATGTTGGTAATTAAAATGAGTGGTAATTCAGGAGAACAGCCCACAAAACATGACTCTCTCAGGGAGAAAGTATGGGAAGAATGGTACCATAAAAAGGGTTAAACAGGAGGATGTGTGTCAAGATGCATCTAACATACTTTTATATACACACACTTATGAAAAAAGAAAAGCTTAGGGACTAGAATGTCTCTTAATCAAAGAGGATGCTGGTATAGCTCACATTACAGAAGCACAGTGGAATAACTTAAGTCAATGGCATATAATATCTGGCCATAAACTATCAGACTATGACAAAAAGATGACAGAATCTAGTAGAGAGGACTGTGCATTTGTTTGTGAACTCTACTATAGTAGTAGAGCTTTATTATTAGCTTCCTTACTAAAAAAGTGAAGGCTTAGAAACAAGCAGCAAAATCCAAAAATGTTCAGTTACTTGTATATAGACTGGTGAAGTGAACAATAGAGCACAGCCTACGGAAACAAATCTACTCATTGTAAGCAACTGCTTCTTAGAACAACTTTTTCTACAGCACAGAAGAGATGTTTCAGAAGCTGCATACATCTAGCGGTGAAACCAAGAGCTTAATTTGCAGGAGAAAATAAGTGAGGGAGGAAGTAAATGGACCAAATTGGATACTGTAGAACAGCAGCCACACATAATTGCTAACAAGATCTGTAAGTATATCATAATTAGAAAGCCCCCAAAATAACTGGTGGTTTGCCTGGTCTATTAGGGACTAATAGGAAAACTAAAGGAGGGAAAAGAAATGGTCAAGAAACTAAATTATTTCTTTGCATCAATCTTCACCAAAAAGGATGTTGTTGAATCACCCAACACCTTTCCTTTGTAGTAATGAAGATGGTACACTGGAACAAACTAGTAATTTAAAATAAAACACACTGCCAGACCCACCTGATCTATTAATGAAAATACACCGGGCATTAAGCTGCCACTGAGGACAGTTACTGTAGCAAATGATAGGAGGAAAGCAAATGCACGTGTGTAAAAGTCTCCAGGAATTATCCAGGAAATTGTGGAGCAGTAAGTTTGATATCTATATCTAGCAAACCAGTTGAAATTAAAAGAAGAATGAAACATTTGGAAGATCATATAAGCACTCGTTCATAGTCATTAGGGGCTAGAAGGGGCCTCACAGATCATCGGGTCCAGCCCCCTGTACTTGGGCAGGAAAGACTATTATTGAAGATCACTAGGGTGAATGACAGTTCTTCAAAAGGCAGCTCAGTAATCTATTAAAGCCTTCTCAAAGAAACCACTAGGATAGTGGACAAAAAGGGAATCCCGCTGAAAAATATTTTGACTTCCAGATGCCTTTAATGAGTTCCCTTAGAAGGAAACTAAGTAAACCACAGGACTAGGAGGCAAAGTGTTGCTATAAATCAAAAACCAGCCAAGAGAACAAAAAGAAAAAACACTAACGAATTTCAGCACGACAAAAAGTAAAATATAGGGTTACATTTGAATCTCTTGGTTGTGTTTAATATGACAGTTGTGGCTGGCTCACTGGATGTCAGTCCTGGTGAGATAATGGTGGCTCAACCCGATATGGGAATCTAAAATCCAGTCAAGTGTATTTACTGGCCACCAATCTAACAAGATATGGCTCTCTGCTTGAAGAGGGGAGAACATATGCCTGTGTGACACTGAAAAGTATACAGGCTCTCTCTAGGGGCATAAGACAGTCCTGGTACAACGTTCCATACCAGTACCAGCAGATGCTTCAGTAGTTGTGATGGTTGTTATTCTCCTACAGGCCCAGGAAGGCAGTTCTGGAGACAGGTTCTCATGTGCCAAAAGTTGTAGCTTTTCTGTAGTCCTCCAAATCATGCAGGTTCTGGAGAATTTCCTCCAGAGTTTGTGTATTGCCTTTTCTTATGGGAGGACAGCAATCCTCCCCTGGAGTGTCTACTTCCGTGTTCTGACAGCACTGGACATTCACACTGGAATTGCTGTTACCCATTTTGATTGCTGGGTTGCTATACTGGTGCTTGTTCCTTTCTTGGACCTCATTTTCTAAACCAGCCATCTGTATCTGCTAAACAAGGTGTTGCATGACGATTGCCTATGAGCAGGATCTTGGAATTTACTTACAAAAGGTACTATTCCAAAAGATAGGAGTTTGAACTTTATCTTCTGCACCCTGGCAGAAAACGATAGGCGCGTTTGGCATTTATTACATATGACAAAAGAGGTACAATTTGTATGCATCTTTCAATAGGGTTAGCCTACTGCAGAACAGAGGGCTTGAAGTCTTCTATGGTGAGGAGTCTTGCAGAGAGAGGAAGCCTTTGGTCTATGTTCAGTCAAGGTGAATCAATATGAGTGAAGCAACTGAAGATTAAAAGGTAATAAAGGAAGTTCCAAATAAATTTATAAGGTTTTCCTAAAGCTAAGATCTAGCACAGTAATTCTCAGCCAGGGTGCCACAGCACCTTGGAGTGTAGCAAGATATTTTCAGGAGTGTTGTGCAAATGCCTACACATAATTCACAAGATAAACCCAGAGAATTCAAGTAGGATTTCAGTGTCAAAAAAATTACAGCCAGTGGCAGTCTTTCTGATTTCTTCGCAAGAGAAAAACTGCTGTATTATTTTTCTGTAGTCAAAAAACAAGTGAAAACTTCAAGAACTAGTATTTTCCAAAGGGTGCCGTGAATCTAGCAAGAGTTGCCTTGAGATTGAAACCACTGATTTAGCAGGTCAGCAACTTACTGCTGTGGCTATAAGAAGGAGCTGAGGGGGGTGGGGGCAGGGGGTGACAGATGAGCTCCCCTTTAGGGCTGCAGCTGCTTCCAGATCCTGCATAAAAAAAAGTGTGAGGTGTATAGACACAACGGACACAACCACTCTAATTCCAGACATCTGTATCCATAGAGGGATCCACACTGACTGACATTTAAGGAAGAGCACTGGGACAATTCAATGAAACTAAAACTAAATTCAGAAAAATAACTTTTACCGCATTTGTAAAGAACTTCTTAAGCTTCAGGCAACAGGATGTCAAGGCCAAAAATTAGCAGAGTGAATGGATCTATAATTGTAATAGCTCTGGATGTTCTTCAGATAATGTGAACAAAAAATCATTGAACCTTACAGTTTGGGTTTTAAATCAATCTCTACAGATTAGGAATCAAGAAGGGGACAGAATATCCCACAACTACCAAACGTTAATTTTTTTGTACTTTCCACAGGAACACCAGGTGTTACAGACAGAACACACTGGATGGACCATAATTCTGAAGATCCTGTGCGTTATTTCATCTCCTCCCTACACAGCGGGTAAATTAGGTCTTAACTAAGTCTGTGAACCATCATTACCAAGTGACACAGAAGAACGAACCCAGTTTCGTTTGCAGTTGTCAGGATGAGCTTGCAGAGCTGGCAATTAGAAAAACAGCCTCTTCCTCCAACTGAGCACAATTAGCTTGTAAAGTAGGAGGATACACTAAATCTGCAACCCTACAATGCTATTCTTTACAATAGTTTTACAGAGACAACTATCATTTTAAATCTGTGGGAAATTTTTAAACAGGTAGTTTTAAAAATAATACCTGAGAAATTTGAAAAAAGCCTTGTATAGGTAGAGAACCTATGCTTGAGCAACCATTGTTGAGTTTCCTGGATTGTGGCTGAAGGAAGAAGTTGCTGTAATAAAGAGAGCTGAAGATTAGTTTACTTAGTTTATATAAATTACCAAAATAAACAGCTCAATAAGTTATAAAAAAAGACAATTATGCATATTATGTCCTTTAATCAAAGCATACAGATAATGAACTAGTTATAAATCAACTGTACTTCATATTATTCAACTGGAAACATGTTTCATTTAGCATAACAATGATGAAACAGGAGAACAGATACTCACATCTCCAGTCCCTTGAGAGGATCCATCTCCTTGATGATTAGGAGAGGAAGAATTGCTATTGGGGGAAGGAAACAACCATATTAAAGGATTTTTAGAAGGTGAGAGAATGTAAAAACAAACAAAAAAAGTCAAACACTGCACACAAAAGTATTCTGAAATTTGCAAAATAACAACATCCCTATTTTATGGCAGCTGCATGCCATGTAAGTCTACACAGGGAGGAACAAGTGTGGTAGAAAATACCCTTTAAGAGAATGCTGTCCAACTGGCAGCCCCTGGGCCACGTACAGCCTCTGAGGGGTTAACATGCTGCCCTGGAACTCCTGTGGGGCTGCCTTTCCCTCACTGCTCCGGCTGCGGTGGCAGCCAGGGCCTCTGGGGCAGGACAGCATGGTGGAAAGGGGCCCCCACTGAGCTTTTCAGACAGCCCACATCAGCACATGGTCCCCCAGGTGCTCAGAAGTTGAACTGCCCTGCTGTAAAAGAGAAAGACCACCACATTTAGATGGTTCAAGTCATCTGGTCTATAATTTCTTTCCAACTTGTCAACTGAAACACAGCTGTGTGCTCAGCGATCACGTACAAATTTTCTGTTCAAGTTAAATATTTCTAACAATATTTGGCTGACAGAAAGAGAAACCCAGGAGGTATTACTTTGACTCTCATAGAAGACAAATCAACTCACTTAGCCTTATTCTACCATGTTTTATTGATCAGATTTTCCAAGACAGCAATACTGATACGACACATAGTGCTTACAGAAATAAACTAATGGCATAAAGCACCTTTGTAACAAAAGAACTCTGTCCACATTAAGAAAACTGGTTGTATCTTGCTATAAGTTAAAGCAGTACAACATGGATCAGGACTCAGTTATAGCAGTTCAAAGACCACAGATTTGTGTCTTTGCTATGAAATGCAACATTTTCTCTTCTTCCATTTGCACACAATTTTGGGCATTAATTGTCCATCTCTCACATTTATTCATGTTGCATCTTCACTTGAAGGAAAATACTTCAGAATAAGTATGGTATTCAAAAGCTGTCTTCTGTATCATCATTTAAGATTCTTACCTGTCTGGGACACTATAGGTACTACTATGTTGAGCAGAGGTAAAAGTTGGAGCTGGGGTAGAGGTGTTGTTTACAAATGCCGTAGGAGTATCAGGCCATGGTGAGCACTGAGGGTAGAGAAAAAGATTTAAACTATAAATTAAAAATCTAATGGTATTTTGTGGCATACCTCCTTTCCTCAGGAGATCTGAATTCACAGAACAAAATTTTAATCTCAGTTTTCACATTAAACTTTTCCCATACTACTCATTCCATGTTTGTATTGCAAAAAAAAAAAAAGCTTGAGTTCTTTTGCTTTATGAAAAAGACTTATTTTACATTAACTTAATTATTGCCTTTGACCATACAATGAAGGGGACAGGGATGAAACTAGCAGAAGGACTGTGCAGGTTAGTCAGAAAAGGCCCCAAAACAAAGATCATGTCCTCAAGTAAGCTTCCATAAGTTCAGGAATAGTAAGTAAAACTGAGAAAATTATCTTTTGGAATAGCTCATCTAAACACACCTACTATGACAGTGGTCATGCTCATTTTTGTTCCAAGAGCATTGATATTTTTAAACTAAGCATTCCATGCACTACAATTTATGAACAATTTATTAAAAGACTAATCTGGTGCCCACATGCAGTTTTTCCTTTCTTTAATTTCATGACAAACTAGGAATTCTGTCCTAGTGATAAAACAGAGATTTATAGGCGAGTCAACTGACTGTCAAATTTGGTCAGTTTTTCTTTCTTCTTTTTTCAAATGACATTAATGTTTAAGGTTCCAAATGCTCTTTCCTGCTCATTACAATGTATTTAGGGTAGGTAAGGAAAAATATAAGAACAAACAAACAGGCTAGAACAAGCAAGCAGCCAAAGAAAGATGAAATAAAACAAAGGCCAAGATCATGCTAAGCATGCTAACAAAGGTTCCTGATATATTTGTCACGATCATCTGTGTATTAACTTAAATGTGAGCTAAATTTCCATGGGGAAAATTTCTGAAGCTGTTTCATTTCCCAGAAAAACAAGAATAAAACAGTAAATCCTAGCATTTAATGAGAATCTGTATTTCTAACAAGAAATATGAAGTAAATTCCAAGATGTCTGAGTACTGAAAACCTCTTTCAGTCACTAGAACCACAGTGCATAAGAAGTCTAACCCTGGCTGCAGATTTTTATTGCAAAATTATTATCTTTGAGCTGGAAGTAACTTGCCATTGCAGTAGGTAACAAAACCCGGAAGTGTGTGTGAAAGGTACTTAGTCTACACTGGTATTTTTGGTCTTGAAACTTAACTAAAGCAGAGTATGGCACATAGTTGCATAGATACAGCCAACCTCAGTATACAAGACTGTGACTACCACTCTTTGTACTGAACGTGATCTTTCATCATTATTGGTTTAGATTTATATACCACCCTTCCCAACAAAGTGCCAGGACAACTTATGCTAGGAGGGAAAATATATTACAAAAGCAGGAAGAGTATGGGTCTACAGTCTACTCTGTCATTCCCCACATGTTTCTCATCATAACTTAGCTTTCTAAACTTCTAGGGACAGGGACTATACTACACTAGGTTTGCACAGCACCTATCATTATCCAATTTTGTTCCTTAACTGTGGGCTCTTGCTAGCTTCATGCTTTTTCAGCATTTTAAATATTAAATTACTAAAGGGTATTTCTTTAATGCATTAAATATTGCACAATGCTTTCACAGCTATCTACACTTCCTTAAGCCACAGGTCAGAGGGAGAGCTTCTGAACTACTTTTGGCATCTGCTGTGCTTGCAGTCCCAGCTAGACCTACTGACTGCACAATTCTTCATACTCAGGAGGGGGCAAGATAGAGCCAGAGGAACAAAATGCATCACAAATAAGGCAAAAAATTCTATTCAAGGGTAGCCCCTCCCCTTTCATTCATGTCTGTATTGCCCTTCAATTAACAATTTTTATCTTGCCTCCTCAGCATTGAGAAATAAAAGGTGTTACCAAATAACCACCCCAAAAAGACAAGTCAGAATAATACTTAAAAACAAAACAAAACCAAACCCCAACAATTTTTTTTTCCAACAGGCAACTGCAATGTTGCCTTTAATCCAATCATCAGATGGTACCAATTAAACAGCAGCACAGATCTTTCTTTATAATAAGAACAACTGAAAGTAAGAAATAAGCCAATTCTGTAATGGGCATGCTGTAGGTGGGTCTTATCTTCCCTTCACAAGATAAGAGAAGGTAAAAGGAGCATTTGCCATGTTGGCTTCAAAATTAGCAGTGAAACAAAAAGGGCAGCGTAAGATATCTTCCATAAAAACTTGGGATGATGGGCATCCAGCTGTGTGCAGCCATTTTCTAGGAATGAATTTGCTTGCCATCCCAGAATAACACAGTTCTGGGTAGGTCTACATTTCTGTAAACTGAATATATTCTAAAGCTAGTAGAAATATAATGAGCATAATAACTAATAACTGGAATTGGGCACTTGTATGGGGACTTAGAATTAATGTCAACTCTATGAAGGGAAACCAAGTGCAGAACTGACATTACCCTTTAACTTGGGCAATGTACACAGTTTTATTTGAACTACCATATTTATGTGATACCAAGACGAGGTTTCCCCCTGCATTTAACATGGGGGAAAAGCCCCTTGTCTTGGATTTGAGTATGAGGCAGCAAAGAGGCCAGCAATTGGGGCCAGGGCCATAGCTGCTTCCTGCCCCTGCTCAGCCTCTACCTCCCCACACTTACCTTCGCTCCAGCAGGTCACAGACCATGAGTCTCCTCCAGTTACAACTCAGCCCTGTAGCAGCAGTGGGGAGCTGGGGCCCCACTTGAGCTGCCACTGCTGCTGCTACTAGTGTGCAGAGGCTGCAGTGTAGCAGCAGGGAAACCAAGTGGTGAGGGTGGACAGGCAATGTGGGGGGCAAGGAGCACGGGTCAAACCCCACTGCCACTGTTTTCCCCACTGTAGCTGTGGGGGAAGTGGAGGGGAAGGGGGTGAATTTAAGACAACCCTCCAATAATTCTATACACGGAAAATTGTAACAAACACATAGAATCTAATGATTGGGGGGTCATCATAAATGTGTGGCCATCCTGGTTTCAGGTAAATATGGTATCAAAAGAAAAAAGTTCTCAAAGTCCCTCTTTGGTTTCCTCAGTTTCATCACAACTCAGACCTTTGAGAAGAAACTGAACCCTGCAGACAGGGCCTAGACCTATGCTGATACGAATCTTAAAATTTCAAAATCTCAGCTAAGCAGCCTCTAACATTTGGTATTCTAGGTCTGGACAACAGCCTGACTCAATTCACATTTCCAAAAACCAGTAGAGAGATACAGCTGTTTCACCTGTGGCGGCACAAATAGTTTCTATAGTTTAGAAGACAGGGGTGCTCAATCTCTGGCCTGTGGAGCAAATGCAGCCCAGAACCATGGCATCTGGCCTGCAGGGCTCCCCATGGGTCAGGAAATTTCACAGCCATTAATAAGACCACCCTCTCCCTGACAAATCCCCAGGCTCCATGCACCTGGTCAAGGCCAGACTCTGACCCCCTTCCCTCACAGGGCTGGGCCATGCCCCCTTCCCACCCTGGATCGGGGCTAGGCCACATCCCTTTCCCCTGGCGGCGCCAAGCTAGGGCTTGGCCATGCTCCCTTGCCTCTCTGTGGGTCCCTCTCCCCACCCTCCTGCCACTACCACTCCCCCCAAGCTGGGCCATGCTCTGTTCCCTCTCTGCAGAGCCAGGTCAAGCTTCTTCCCCTACAGAGCTGCACTGGGACTGGCCTGCCCCCCTCCACATGGCCAGATGGTGCTCACAGTGCCCAACCAGGTGTCGTGCATCCACAGATGCATTTCAAGCAGGACCAAGGAGGTGATCCTCCCCCTCTATGCGGCACTGGTCAGGCCGCAGCTGGAGTACTGCATCCAGTTCTGGGAGCTGCACTTTAAGAGGGATGTGGACAGCATCAAGAGGGTTCAGAGGAGGGCCACTCGCATGATCAAGGGACAGCAGGGCAGGTCCTATGAGGAAAGGTTACGGGACCTGAACCTGTTCAGCCTCCAGAAGAGAAGGCTGAGGGGGGATCTTGTGGCCTGCTATAAACTAGTCAGGGGGGATCAACAGGCACTGGGGGAGTCCCTGTTCCCCCGAGCGCCGCCAGGAGTGACCAGGAATAACGGTCACAAGCTGGTGGAGGGAAGGTTTAAGTTGGACATCAGGAGGCGCTACTTCA